CTAAATCGCGATGGGGACGACGAAAGAGGTGAGCTTTCTTCATTTCAAGTCGAGCTGAAAAATCGGCGATTTCTTTTTCGATATTGCCGGGGATGTAGGGTAGAGAGGAAGAGGGTGGGAATATCGGGAAGAACGTCCGAAAGTTATTAGGAACTTGAGCCTCGTCATAGGGACACCCGGTATGCAAGCCCCGTGTGTCAAACGATGTATTTTATCCTCGGCTTAAGATGTGCTCCTCTTAAAGATGAAATACCACGCGGGAAGTCACCAAGCAGCGAGGTGGCGTCTTTTCTCACTTCGGCCATCTTGAGGGGCGCGAGAAATAAAACGCGATGCACTCGGCGCATCGTCTTACCGTTTCACGTATCCGCCATTTTGAAACCGACTCCCGTTGCCTATCAAAATATCAAGGCATGTTTTATAAACTTTATTGGTCGCCCTGATAGAGCGAAATATGAAATATCACGCGGGAAGTCGCCTAATCGCGAGGCGACTTCTTTTGTCACTTCGGCGCATCGCCTTACCGTTTCACGTATCCGCCATTTTGAAACCGACAGTCCGCAAATCGCGACTCCCATTGTCTATGAAAATACTAAAATATGTTTTATAAACTTTATCGATCGCCCTAAGAAAGCAAGATATGATCGAACGATGGAATGAAACCGACTGGCTACAAATCGCGACTTTGAATATAATGTATTTTATTAACTTCAACAAACCCGTCCTGACGGAGCAGTAACGTTAGACAAAAAACATTAATAGTAAAAAAGGGAGAAGCATTTCGAAAAAGCATTCCCTCCTTCCATTTGCAATTTCGACCGGTCATTTTTTCGTCCGCCCCAAAAAGCTTCCGCGGTTTGCCCGTAATTCCGGAGGTCGCCCCGGAAACCGGAAATCCGCGTGTACTGCAGTCCTGGCGATGCACTTGGTGCAGTCGCACGCATTAGCGCACGTCTTCCCTCGGGAGCCGGACAGGAGTCCTCCTCGAATGGTGTAATGAAATAGAGACAATGCACCACCGCCCTTGCACCACCGGGAGGTGGTCGATGCAGCAGCCTTGGCGATTCCGGGGGTCTCGTTTGAATTGCACCTCTGGAAAGCGAGGCTTGAATTTCTTCGTTCTTTTTTTCTTTTTCTCTCTTTTTTCCCTTCCCTTTTTCAAAGCGCCCCTTGTTTCCGGGAAACATCGCGCGGGGATCGATTGTTTTATCTGTAGACAAAGCTTGGGTACGTGCAGGTCGTCCCGAGGTCGATTGTATATAATGTTACCGAAACGATGATCGATAAATGGCCGACAATGGCGCGCGGCGTTATCAAGCCGAGGAAAATGTCTCCGGTGTTTTGGTTTTGACTTTTGTCCTCTCTTCGGTTCTAAGATCACGAGGAATGATATGATTTGACATCCGCGGAAATCCCGAGAGTAAAATGGCTGCGGTGTTTAACGGCTATATATATTCTTTGTATTTTTTTTTTTTTACCTCGATAATTGATAAATCACGGCGAGAAATAATCGAGAGCAAACGAGGGCTCGCTTTAATCTCTGGAAATCGGAACTTCGAGAGACTTTCCCGTACATTGAATCGTTTTTCTTTTTTTTCCTTTTTATCACGGCGAGTCTCGTACACTCGTTTCACGATCTAATTCCGAGGGGTGTAAAAAAGCGGTGAAAATTAAACGTCTCGTTACGATCGAGGGCGAGCAGGACGCGGATAACGTTGCCGGGGATCCTCGGGATTTAATTAGGAAATACGACGAGGACTGGGAAGGGAAACCGAGGAGACAAAATCGGGGCTTTCAGAAAATTCGCCGGTTGTATTTCTTTCTTTCTTTGTTCTTTTTTTTTCCCCTCCTTCTTTTTACCCGCCGCTCAAAAGCGCACCAGAAAAGTCGAAATATATAACGGAAAGCCTCGCGACCGCGACGAGGGGCAAAAACAATTTCTACACGCTTGGAAAATCCCGGCAGCCGCAAATTAGGGACGAGAAAGGGGCACCTAGAGGATAAACCGAGTTTAAAAATTGCGCGACCTCGAAACGCATTAATTCGCGACGCATCTCGCGAGATAGGACGATGTCACACCGAGCGCGGCGCGTCACGGCGTGAGGGGATGGAAGACCGATCCGAATTGCGGCGAAAAATCGCAGAGAGTTTAAAAGCAGTTTTTAATCATTTTTAATCATTCCGACTAAATGTTGCATCTTTCCGAGTTCATTTGAGTTCAATCATTATTCTTTAAATTAACCGAATATATCTCGTTGGTTCAATGATATCTTTTTCTTTTTTCCTCGGTCACATTTTCTTCTCGCGTCGACGCGCCGCGCTCTGTGCGAACCTCGCCGCGCTCAGTGGGATTCTGGCGTAGGAAGACGCGTGGACTGAGAGCGAGATTGATTCCGAGGGTGGCCCATTTTTGGCGGACGAAACCGCCGGCAAAAAGGCGAGATCGATCTGGGCCACCTTCCGAGTTCCGAGTTTCCGAGTTTCCGAGTTTCCGACCTCCGCGGGTCGCGCTCTCATGCATAATCATGAGAATGTGCGCGACAGCATAGGCCGCGGCCTGCGACGCGTATCCCCCCCCCCCTAAGGATCGTTACCACCAAATAGTCTTGCCGAAGGATTCGTGCACTGTTCAAAGAAATATTACAATTTTATAACAATTTTGTTGGAAGTTTCATTTAGACATGGTATACTGATTATATAACATATTAAAAAAAAAAATGTCTAATATATATTATAAGTTTAGTACATATGTGTAATAAATTTATAATATTATTTTAATTTTTCTCGGACTCAAGAATGTCGCTACAATGCTTCGCCGCCAGTACCACCGATACTTGTCATATTTCGATTAAATTTCCTTAACACGTTGAGCGCGGAACCGATTTTGCTGAGCTTTCCGTTTGGGCGGCACAATTTTTTATATATAGGATTCTTGATGCCGTGTCAGTCCCAAGGGACCGACGCCGCCCAGACGGAAAGTTCACTGTCGGTCCCCAGGGACCGACGCCGCACTCAACGTGTTAAACAGAAACTTATGTAAACGATCGTAAGACTAAAAACTGATCTGAAAAATTTGCAAACAATTCATACTAAATGACTTTCGAATGTCAAATTTATCATTTTTTCCCCGCAACTTCACAGGATTACAACACGGTGTTATAAAAGTTGTAAATTTACTTAGAATATCATAATAAATGTGTACTAATTCACTGTTAAGATATCAAATTTATAATTTTACTGCAACCTTATGTACTAAAAGTGTATGAATTTTATGACTTTTTTTTAAAAGTGTGTATATGCAGGGCCCGAAAAGGTCGAGAGCCCACTAGGCTCGCGAGTGCTTCCCCCTTATTCCGCGCGGTGATTAAATTTCTTTAGCCGGAATATAATCCAAGATTTCGAGGAACGTCCCAGAAAGAGAAGCAAAGTTAACAAGAAAAATGTATCTTTTCCTAACGTCGTCCATTTTCGCTTTCCATTGGACCGCGAAATTGGACGTTTCGATTGGACGAGCAGCTTGCGGCAAGAGTCGAAAGTTCGCCGCGTTTCGTCCTCTTGTTATATATATTTTTTTTTCCTCGTTTCGAGCACGGTCCAGATTCGCCTTGTCGGGCTCGAGCCGCGGAACAGCGTCGTGGGTACCCCGGGGAGAAATTCCGGGTCCGAATTGAACGGCGCTCCAATTTTTAGCGTCGAATTCGCCATAGGCCGAGTTCGGCGTGGGGAGCGAACTCACGTGAATCTACTCACCGAAGTGTCGTTTCCCGGAACTGCAGGCGCTCCGATGATAATGGCGATAAATATCCCGGCCGCCGCACGTCCGACGTACTCTCGGCGGTGCTTTATTACGGGAAAGATTTATCGATTCGATACAAGGGACATTAAGCTCCGAAAAGTATCGATCCCGGACCTTGAGAGAAAGAGAGGAAGCGATCGATCTAGCCGGCGAACCGGCCGCCATTTTTCTGCGACCCAATATGGCGGCTCGAGGACGCGCGTCACCTCGCCGAAAGACTCGCTCCCTGTTCGGAAACCGGCGAGCGGGCGTTCAATGCGTGTTAATTGAACGAACGGCGGGCGTTAATGATTTTGAATACGCGTTTAGAGAAGCGGCCCGTTGTTCTCGCGTCGGCAAAAATGAAGTCTCCTTGAAGCGGTCGACGACGCGACCTTCTCGTCGGCGAAAGGGAAGCGTTGCTCGGAGGAACGAATGGAGGCGAAGGAGAATTTTTAATTGTCTCGAGAGGTCGATATTAACGCGCGGTTCTGTAACCACTTGACACGACCTAGCCTGGAAAGCTCGTCAAACCACGCTGGAGCATTACGTCTCAGCTGGCGCCTTGCACGAATGCTCGCACCACGCGGGTGCAGGGGAGGGACCTCCTCGAGGTTCCCCGCGGGCAACGGGTGGGGTCAAGCGGCCTCCCTTCGGGGAGTGCGTCGCGGAGGCCCTGTCCCGGCAAGCGCCTCCCCAGGGTTTGTCGACCGGTCCGGAGCATTCGGGTTTTTCCCGGCCTGTCATGGGCCTTCGGGCCCCTTTGACGTTGGGGTTGCCTGACGGGATAGGCGGTGTATAATCCCCCCAGCAATGGGGGGGCCGATAGGGAGGTACTCCCTCCAGGTGCGGCCAGCCGTAAGGCTGATAAAGTTATTCTGTCCCTATCTACTATCTAGCGAAACCACTGCCAAGGGAACGGGCTTGGAAAAATTAGCGGGGAAAGAAGACCCTGTTGAGCTTGACTCTAGTCTGGCACTGTAAGGAGACATGAGAGGTGTAGCATAAGTGGGAGATGGTGACATCGCCGGTGAAATACCACTACTTTCATCGTTTCTTTACTTACTCGGTTAGGCGGAGCGCGTGCGCCAGGGATATTACTTCCCGGCTGTCACGGTATTCTAGAACCAAGCGTGTAAGNGCGGGTGCAGGGGAGGGACCTCCTCGAGGTTCCCCGCGGGCAACGGGTGGGGTCAAGCGGCCTCCCTTCGGGGAGTGCGTCGCGGAGGCCCTGTCCCGGCAAGCGCCTCCCCAGGGTTTGTCGACCGGTCCGGAGCATTCGGGTTTTTCCCGGCCTGTCATGGGCCTTCGGGCCCCTTTGACGTTGGGGTTGCCTGACGGGATAGGCGGTGTATAATCCCCCCAGCAATGGGGGGGCCGATAGGGAGGTACTCCCTCCAGGTGCGGCCAGCCGTAAGGCTGATAAAGTTATTCTGTAACCACTTGACACGGCTTCGTCAAATAATCCAGAAATGTTTACGGGAATGAAGCAACGTGCACGGTAGACCACGAACTAGAGACTAGATTAAAGCGTCGCTTGATGGGTCGTTCACGTGACGGATCGAGGCGATCGTTCGCAGGCTGCGAAAAATCGAACTCGAACGAAATCCGCTTATCCGTTCCATGAAATACGCTTATAAGTCTCACGAATATCGTTTATTCTTATCCGGGTAGAACGATGCGACTTAACTGCTTCGGGATCGCCCTCGTATTTTTGGATTTCGGAGAGGTAACGGGGAGGCGCGCCGACGCCATCTTTCTTTTAGGGGGTTCCGTCGAGTGACCGCAGGAAAGTGAAACGCGGTCCTTAACTAACGATTCGCGGGTCTCGCGAAAAGAAGTGTAGGAAGTGCTCCGGCTTGGAGAAGAGGATGTGCGGGAAATAATTGGCGGCGTGCGAATTCAAATTATGCCGGACAAAAACACCGGGAGTCGGGATGGGGCTCGCGACAAGGATTTCTTCGACAGCGAGATCTCCTCCATCGGTATGTCGCTGCGGCCCAGCGGCAGCGCCTCTTCCGGTGAGTCAGCGAACCTTTTAGACCGCGAGTAAACCGCCGATAAAGCGCGCCTCGACATTACCGATATTAACTCTAGTGGCGAGATACCGAAATTTCTTATCTTTCACGCCGATCCATGCACCGCCAGCAGCAATTTTCGCATCGCCTCTCCGTTGGTTATCGGCTTGCCAGGTTTTCCACTCTGAAGGAGACAACTCGCCACGGCGTTGCGTTCGTTTACGCACTCAGAAACTGTGAATGCGTAGGAGTCCGAGGTCGTCAGGGCGCTTTTTAGCTGGTTAAAGAGGCTCAGAAGGACGCACTCCTTCATCAGGATCTCTGACTCCTCGACTTCCGGCTCGCCGAATCCGCACATCCAAAGCATCTCGTCCAGCCAGTTCTCCGAGATCTCCGAGTAGCTCATGTAATTCACCCCCTTGTCCACCAGCCATCGAGTCGTCTGGAACAACCCGAGATTGCCGGATATAATCGTACTCGTGTACCTCGATTTAATGCGCCCTAACTTCTCCCCCCCCCGGTTATCCGAGTTTGGGGAGTAAACGCCATTACTCCGAGCAGGCTGTTAGGCGATTACGGTGTTCACACTTCCAAAGACTCGTAACTCCCTCGGGAGTCCTCCCCTGGAAGGGTTATTACGATAATATCCATTTCAAGGGAGGACACTTAGAGAAAGGGAGAAAAAAAAAGAACGGATTTACCTCGATCGAAGATTTATCGATACTCTAGGTTCTTCGAATCTCCTCCAGATAGTTGTCGGATTGAGGCATAAATTTGTGCGATTTTTTTGTTCAATAATTTGTAAGAAAAAAAAAAAAAGAAAATAGCGCACAAATTTTTAACTAAAAATCGCGTTGGGGCATAAAGTCAAGCGATTTTTATTCAATAATTTGTAAGAGAGAAAAAAGAGCGTACAAATTATTAAATAAAAATCGCACGAACTTACGCCTCGACCCGATATATTCGAAAGTATCCTTTTCGAGCTGCCCTTCCGACCTCTTAAATACTTAATTGGATTTAATTATAATCTAACGGAGTCGTATACTCTTAATCACCTTAGCTCGACAAGTGAGACTCATCGGATTTCCCTCGATACGAATTTTATTGATGCTCCGCAGGTGCTCCAACCCCTTCGTTGGCAGGCAGGTCAGGTGATTGTAACCGAGGTCAAGGGTCTTCAGGTTGGCCAACCTGGGGAAGACGTCATTGTCGATCCCGGAGATGGAGTTGTACGCCAGGTCGAGGTGTTCCAGAGAGGTCAGGCTGGAGAACCACTCGGGTCGGACGTAGGTGATGTTGTTGCTAGAGAGGATCAGCTTCTTCAACCTGTACATCCCGTCAAATGCTGTCGCGTGGATGTCCTTTATCCCGCAGGAGTGCAGGCTCATCAGGAGCAGGTCGCTCCCGAATTTGAAGAAGGCCTGGTCGGGAACGTAGGGGATATTCGAGAGGGAGATCGAAAGAACGGAGACCATGGAGTTGCCAGTTTCCAAAGGCTCCGACAGGCTCGAATGGGAACACTTCAGCCATAATCTCGGACCTGGAATGTATATCAGACCCTGCAAACTCTTCCTATCGATTAGCGCTCGGCAAATCATTGTAAGGATCCTCTTTTAAGGGGATATGAAAGTGGCATCCGCAAGGTCAATCGTTCATGAAACTTTTCTACTAGGTATACTGAATCGCTTCACCCTTTACAACGTGGATATGGAGGCCCTAAAGAAAGTCCTGAAACCCATGAAATTTTATTTTAACAAAAGATTTGGAAATCATCTGTAAACAAATTTTGTAAAAGTTGACATTTCATGGCTGTCAGGACCTCCTTTATAGCTTCCATATTCACATTGTCAGGTTTAAAGCGTTACGGTACACTCAGTTCAGAGATAAGTTTCATAAACGAGACCTCTTCGCGCCACTTTAACATCACCTTAAGATGATATGAAAGTGTCATATATACAGACCAAAAAGTGAAAATATCTATAAACCTATTCTGGGTGCACCGAATCATTTGAAACTTCATCACGAGATTATGGAAGCCCTAAGGAAGAATGCGATACTCGTGAATTTTCATTATTCGCAAAAAAATGTGTATCTACCTCGGACAAGAACCAAAAAAGACATTTTTTTTTTTTCGAAAAATGTAATTTCGCGAGAATCGCGCTTTTCCTTAGGGATTCCATATTCACGTGTTAAAGTTTCCGATGATTCGGTGCATTCAATCCGGAGAAAAGCTTTATAAATATTTTCACGCTTTGGTATATACAGAATGACCCTTTCATATCCCCTTAAGGTGGCTTACCTTTCTCGTACTTGTTGGTGGAGCAGATCGCTCCTGTGCCGCCGAGGTTCTCCAGCAACGCCCAGAAGATCCCGAGGATCACCGCACTGCGTCTCATGATGGAACCGCGTAAATCGAATATGCAACGTCTGACGTTGCCGTGAGGTTTCCAGCGCGAAACCGGACGCGATAACTGGCAGAGATACAGGAGTATCCGCTAATCGGAGAGGCTCTTCCTGTTTCGCGGTGTACGTTGGAATTACGATCACGCAGGCTCGAAAAGTCGTATCTCGGTGGTCGTTTTCTTATGGGTTAAGGGATGCTTGGTTGGAAGTTACGAGTGGAGAGCTGGTCCATAGTTCGTTAAGTTTGTAGGCGAGTTGAGGTCCACGTGCTCGCTAAATTGGTTAATGTAGGACTAGAAGTGGCTGCAGCAGAAAATGGCCCCTCGACTATGGCAGACTAACCCCGAGCTGCACAATCACCATCCCATGAGGGTGCTGATAATTTTCCTCCATTTGCAGGCATCTGTAATCTGGCGAGTTGCGGCGAGGTCGACGCGCTGCCTGAATTTCTAATCGAGGACGAGGAGCGGCTGCAACGAGCTAGGTCGCTGCAACAGGAATTGGTCCCTCGACCATGGCAAACCGACTACGGGGTGCACGATCAACATCCTACGAGTGTATTAAGATTTCTTTTTTCTTATTCATTTGCAGGCATCTCGAGTCTAGCGAGCTGCGGCGAGGTGGACGCGCTGCCCGAATTGCCGGCCCAGGACGAGGAGCGACTGCAGCGGGCTGCGAGGCTGCTGCAGCAGAAACTGGTCCTGCGACAATGGCTGGCCGACCACGGGCTGCACAACCACCACCAGAAGTAACACCCGGGGCTTATTTTAATTCTTTCGCGTCCTCTTCCATCGTTAACTCGCTCATCGTCGTGTATTTACTCCCCGACTCCTTGCAGACTGATGCAGATGGAGGTCGGCTCTTTAGAGGACGTCTACTGGGTCGAGGACAACGCAGCCCGCGCGGCTCTGGGCAAGGACCTTCCCCGGTGGATGGAGGCCCGACAGAGCCTGCCGACCTCGAAGGAGGACCTCGAGGCCCTAAAGGCCGAGCTCTGGAGCTCCGTGGTAAAGAACAGCCAACATCAGGATGCTTGGACCTGGGGTGCGTTCTTGCGCGATGCGAGTCTCCTCGTGCAACGTTGGTATTTCTTTTGCCTCGACTGCGGCGCTTTTTCGTTTTCTTTGCGAGGGTATGTATTTAAGAAAGGGATCTCCTCACCGAATAAGCGCAATCCGCAGGTGGAATGCTGGTGGTGTCGGTTTCGGTGGCGGGACTGGTGACCCTGGCTGCGATGACGCAGCCTGCTCTTGCTCCCGAAGCGAAGCACTCCCTGCTGCAGTACGTTACCGGGAAATATTTATTACCTAGCAATTGTCGGGTACATTTCGAGTGGGAGGAGCCGCAGCTCGTCGGGGAGACCATGACCTTCACCGTTAAGGTACTCCTTTTGAACGTCTTTTAGTTGTACGTCCTATCTGACGCCGAGGCTCAAGAACTTCCGCGTGGCTTTCAGTTCTATCAGCGCAACGGACAGCCCTATCCAATCTGTGACAAAGATAATCTAATAGTGGAGGTGACGGAGGGCACTCGAAGGGTCGCAACGTTGATAGAATTAGGAGGGACCGACCCACTGGCTGCTAACACAGCCGTCGTTAAATTCACCGTACGACACGCCGGGCAATATCGAATCGCGGTCCTAATTGGTTCTTGTCACGTGCACGGCAGTCCGTTCCTCAAAAACTTCCTTCCTGGTACGCCTACGCGAAGATCGACATCGCTCGCTCCCTTTTATTAATCTCCCTCGGTCGTAATCAATTTTCATGGATTTTTTTTATTCCAACCGTAGGACCTCCGGACCCCAACAAGACGGTTTTCGTCAGGCAAAGCTCCACCGTCGTCTGCACGGCTGGCATCGCTCATTCCCTGACCATCGAGCCCAGAGATGAGTACGACAACCTGTGCATTTTCGGACCTGGGGACCAACCCACCGATGGATACAGTGTCGATATAACTCAGGTTTCTCAGAGTCTCTAAACGAGCGACCCGATCCGAATCTATCGGAGTAACGTCGCGTTCTAAACCATAGTCCGTCGCCGCGGAGGCGCTTTTAACGCACTCTTAATTTATCCATGCTTTTCCAGATCGGTAGTCTAGTGAAGGAGGAACCAGAAGCGGTGGAGTGCACCATCCAGCTGGATTATGACTCTCCTAATCAGAGGATTCGGTTAAAAGTCAGCTTTCCGAAGGGCGGCTGCTATCACGCCACGGTTAGCCTATCGGGACTGCAGTTGCATAATGGAGATTTTGACATCATCGTCCTCGAGAGTTAGATATTATTCTAGTTGTCAATAATAGATACTATGTAATGTGAGTTTCAATATTCGACGCGGTCACTTATTCTCCTGTTTTTTTTTTCTCTCTCTCTTCGTCAAGGTTTCGTTGTAAGGATGGTCCACAATAATGTCGCCTCGAAAGATCCCGACATCTGTTACGCTGCCAAATTACTCGGCATGCAGGGCGAACGTTTCTCCAAGCCGAAGAAAGTCATGTGCTTCATATCGCCGAAACAGCTGACGATCAAGGAGTACTTGTTAAAGTTTATACCCAAGCGTCTCGTCACTTTCAGACTCTGTCCGTCGACCAAGGTAAAACTGTCGGTGGCGTGGCGTATCGGTTTTAATGAATTTTAATTTCCATTCGCAGTTTCACTTCGACTGTTCCAACAACCAGCACGACGGATACGACTCCTTCTCCATAGACGACGGTTGTCAGCCGCCCGTCGAATTAATTTCACATTATCGAGATGTTATCGCCGCGACGTTTACCTTGTTCCTGCTGAAGAACATCGGCGGGAGCGAGACCTTCACCGACAAGCAGGACTTTTTCTACCACGAAGTGCGGAAACACCACCAGAAACATTACCACGAGAAGCTGTCGATGAAGGTTCAACGAGACAAGCTTTTGGAGTCGGTTAGTTTTCACGAGAAATTAGTTTCATTAGTTTATTATTAGTATTGTATTAGAATGCCTGAAAGGGTGCGATTCAAGTTCTATCTATAAACGAGACGTGATCGTTTTAGTCCATGAAGGCCACTAAAGGATTTTCGGTGAGCGAGTGGTGCAAGAATTTCGAAATCACCTTCCAAGGGGAGCAAGGTACTTTTACGTGATCCTTTTTTTTTTAATGTTTATGGACCCAGAAGATGAGATCCTGTTATCGCAATCCACGATTTCAGGAGTGGATTGGGGCGGTGTTCGGCGTGAATGGTTCGAGCTGATATGCGCCGCTCTGTTCGATCCTGGAAATGGATTGTTCGCATCCTTCGGAGAGTCGCAGCAGGCCTTGGTGCATCCTAACAGTAGAAGACCTCCGCACCTTAAATTGAAACACTTTGAGTTTGCTGGTCGCATCGTGGGGAAATGTCTATACGAATCCGCCCTGGGCGGGTCTTATCGACAATTGGTGCGTGCTAGGTTCACGAGGTCGTTCCTCGCTCAAATCATAGGTCTTAGGGTTCATTACAAGGTAATTCAATCCAATAAATTTTTAACCGTACGCATAATTGCGTAAGTCAACATTAATTCGATTAATCCGTCCACTTGTTTTTTATTAATTTTTTTTATTTTAGTATTTCGAGCAAGACGACCCGGACTTGTACCTTAGCAAAGTTAAGTACATTCTAGAGAACGACGTCGAAGAAATGGAATTGTACTTCGTGGAGGAGGAGTACGACAAGGACGGTCAATTATTGAAGGTAGTGTAATGTAATTTTATAATATACCCGCAATGTGATCCACATTTAATTGTCCAGGTCGCCGAATTAATACCCGGTGGTAGCAAATTGCGGGTCACGAACGACACGAAGTTGCGATACTTGGACGCTCTTGCTCAACATAGGCTAGCAAGTTCGATTCGTAGCGAAGTCGATCAGTTCCTTCGTGGTCTTAACGAACTCATACCTGACAACCTTCTCGGGATATTCGACGAGAACGAGCTGGAGGTACTGGCGACATATATGCACTTTCCCTTGAACGTTACTTCCAGTCTTCGGGGGATCTCGATCACTGCTTTTGATGTAACTCTCCGGGCACGGTCATCAATCAATAATTTCTTCCATTGATGCAGTTATTGCTGTGTGGGACCGGAGAGTACAGCGTCGCGGATTTACGAGCCCACCACATAGCGAATGGCAGCTCCCCGGAGTTCCTTCGGGTTCTGGACTGGTTCTGGACCGCCGTCAGCAACTTCACTCAAGAGGAAATGGCCCGATTGTTGCAATTCACCACCGGCTGTTCCCAACTGCCGCCGGGCGGTTTCCAACAATTGAGCCCGCGGTTTCAGATCACGGCAGCGCCTACGTTTGCCAATCTTCCAACTGCTCATACTTGGTACGTCCCTGGTATTTAAAGATCGAGTGTCAGACAATGAAAAATGCGAGATACAGCTCAATGGGCGATAAACAATCTTTCTTATTTTCCAGTTTTAACCAACTTTGTTTGCCCGATTACGAGTGCTACGACCATTTCGAGCGGGCCCTACTTTTGGCGATCAGCGAAGGAACCGAAGGTTTTGGTATGATCTAATTAATAACTTCACCGATGCATTCGAGATAAGGTCCTCTAGTCTAAATCTAGTTGAAAGTATGAAGGTAAATTGTGGAAGGGTGCTCCGATATCGGGTGGCCATTTTCCTTATCAAATATGTGCGAACGAACATTCCGAGTCGGCCTACTTTGTTACGGTCAGTGCTGGGCAGATTTGCTACTTGACATTGTGTCAAGGGGAATTACAAACTACACCTGCGTATACTTCGGTTGGATCTGTAATTTAGAATATTTTATTACTAGCGAGATTTGTAATTCCTTCGGGTTAGGCTGTGATTTGCGAGGAAGGATTTTGAATGCCCAGCAGCCTGCAGTCGCCGAAAATACAGTATTCGGTTGTCGTAACAAGGTCTACGAAACTTTGTTTAAAGTAGACAAATCAAGATTTGTCGGTACCGAGGGTTGGTTATCGTAACGATCTGCTCCACGGTTCAATATACAGTAGCAATACTCTAGAACCTAATCAGAACACCTAAAGACGAAATACTATCCTTAATGATATTAATCCACTTTTATTTCATTTTTATGATGTTTACACCGTTTCTTTTTCTTATTGTACTGATTTCGCGGTATCACATGTACAAAAGTATGGTTCTCCCACTTCTGTTTAATCAACGTATATACGTAATCACATGCATACCAATTAATTTTGTAACTACGGGGAGCAAGTCTTAAAGGTTTAAAGTTTATAGCACGTGATCGCGAACCGTCCATGTATTCGGCATTGTTGAAATCAACGCCGGATGCTCTCGATTACTAAATAACGAATTTTTATTATGGGGACTGAATGAAGGAGGGACCTTCCATTGCCAAATACATGGCTGGTTTATATTCTCTATGGCTTTTCTAGGAATCTGTAGTAATAAACCCTGGCAATATGCAGTTGACGAAAGCGACAACTTTGCTCGGCGAGGCGAATCTAGAAACAATAATGCAAACTAGAAGTCTCTTAAATTTAGAGAGCTCAATAATAATAATATTGTGATCGTATGCATTACGTTAGCATAACTTAAAAGTGGAACTTTTCACGTGCCGATCGAAATCGGCGAGGTGGACACGAAGGCGTCGATGTTATTAAAAGCTGCGCCGATGGTTATAAATTGTTTAACACGTCCCGATTAATTTAAACCACCCGGGGTGTATTTGACATTGCTTTAAAAGAAGAAGGCACACACGTTGATTTATTTGCGCCGCAAGCACGACTGCACATTTTGCGGTCGAATTAAATTTCTTATTTTTATCAAAGCGATGTAGAAATGTTAACGATTTAATAACCAGCGGCGTCGCCGTCACATAAATCGGCAAGGCGCAAAAGAATCATAGTAGACCTGTACTCTAGGTCCATAATCAAAAGCCGAATCGAACGTCGTATTTTGATAGTGAACTGACTAGTGAGTAGCGAAGTACTTAAAACACAGCTGACGATAGTTTAATTTTTTCTAAGTTACCACGTGCTACACGGTGGATGTAAAAATGTAGTTAGTATTAAAAACGGACATGTGGTATTGCTTATGTACATATGCGATTATTTATCAATCCTACGTAGTCGATCATTTAGAAGTTCCACGTTTATTTGATCACCAAGCCGTGGCTTTTGAGACCGCGATTTATCGGCACAGAGAAGTGTCATCATAGTGGCTCCAGTAAAATTGCGGCTCGGCGAATTACTTTTACGAAGACGTATTGATTTGTCGACGGTTTGGATTGCCGGGGCACGAATGAGAAGTATTTTTATGATAACCGGAAAATCAGTCTTTTCGACGTGTCAATCACGCAGCGAGCAATTTGGCAAATGCAATCGATCGTATTATATTTCGGGTTTGAGTTAGAGTTAAGTGTATAGATGATAATATTGATAATAAACGAGGAAGTCTACAAGCGCGTTTTGAAATCGCGTCGTAGCCCTCGGAGTTATTATTCCCAGGTGTCCAATTTCATTCACGCCTCATCCGCTAAATAAAGTTCGTGAAACGAGACTTAATCGCTGCGAGTGTATGTATATATTTATTTATAAACTTCACGGTATATCTCGATTTTATCCTCTCGATTACATGTACATACTTACATAAGTAAAAATAATCACGTACGTAATAAGACTCGACCGGAACCGTTGAATTTTTTTCGGAACCGGCAGACCTTTATCTACTTTGCTTTATTAAAAGTACGTATTATATAAAAGCGGTAGAAATATGAAAAATAACGCCGTACAAAGGCCTCATTTACGTGCTCGTGAATTTAAGGGAGAGTTCGAGACTACTTTAAGTACTTTTTTTTTAGATTTCCAACCGTCTTTGTTACCCCTTCGACCCGTTTCTCAAAGGCAAAGAAATTATCCTAGCAAATCGCTCCTTTTTCTCATCCATCGGACTTTCATTCCAGTACTCAGATGGAAAACACTGGTCCCTCGTATTCCCTCATTCTCTCGTCCCTCGTGGTCACTCTTCGACCCCGGAGCATCAATTTCCATTAAGATAATTTCCATCTAATAGAAAAATGAAATTATCGAGCGAACTAATTCATTTTTTTTTTTCTTCTTTTTAATTCCTGACATACCTAGGACGAAAGTGGCAGTCCCGAGCTCGATAAGAAGGATAAGGTCCTCAGGATGACTCGTGGGGCTCGGACGACGCTGCCAGCAAGCTGAAGAACTCGACTGCTCCATCCAACTTCTTGAGACTGGCGAACCAGACGTTCCTTAAGTTCCACTAATTCCGTTCTAGGAGAAGAAATCCATATTTCAGAAGTGTAACATTTCACATCTGGATCTAGAAAAGTATTTCACGTACAGTTGTCTGCTATAGGCAGACTCGATCCGTCTAAGTGCAGCCTCCCGGTCCATGAGTTGATTTTCCAAGTTGGAAGCTCTCAAGCTCAAGGCTCGTCCAGTTTCTTCGCTACTCCTCAAGCGTCTTTCCAGTTTCTGCATTTCCGCTTCCTTCGCCTCCAGTTCCCTGTATAAAAAGTAGATCTCATTACCCATCGGTTAGGGATAAGAGTTTCCAAGTGACGTAACAAATGGTCCGTTTAAAATTTCAATATTCAATCCCTCGCGTGAGAGACGAAGTACCTAGAACGTCGTTGAGACTCTTCTCTAGAGGACTCGGCGAGTGCCGTCTGCGCTGCCAATTTTATTTGCAGATCTTCCATAACCCTCTCGGCATTTTCGGCTCTGCTGCCACGTTCGGCAGCCAATGATTCGCTCGCTGTAACCTGGGAATTTAAATCGGACGCTTATTAATCACTAATTCAATATTCCACTCCCGGTAATTCCGGTAATGCCTGCTTAATCTCCTTCGCTAACTCGAGGTCCCTCTTCCTCGCTATTGCCAAGTACATAGGAAACGCATCGAGCTTTTATATATTCCCAAGGATACATAGGAGCCTAGGAATGGTATCTAATAGAACGGAGCTCGTATCGATCCCCCTTCGAGAAAGAGAAGTATTATGCGACACTGAGTCATGCCAAGTGACTCACTTCTTCACCGCGCTCCCTGGTACGTTGAACCTGACTCTGTCGACGGAAACGATTTTGAGTCGTACCGTAAACTCGGTAACGCGGAATTCTCCGAGAATGTGAATGGGCAATAATGGGCCCGGGCGCGGAAGTTAATGGCCGGTACCTTTTCTTTCTATTTCAAAGCATAAAGAGGATAGCCGTGAACCGCTATTAAACCATTGAACAGGTAGGTGGTCGGGCGGCGTTGAGCGAGGAAGAAGAAAACGCCCAAAAGGAGGGACGCGCTATAAATAGTAGAGTAGAAGGGTGAGAAAGTGCCACGTCGTTGAGCAAAACACGCTGTTAAGGCCTCATCAGGGATCAGAGGAAAGGACGCAAGCCTAAGAGAGTCTCTGAGGATTCTTACATACAGGTATCACCCCGACGATAATCTAAAAATGAAAAACTATGTACATATCAGTTGTAAATTAAATTCAATTAATTCCAAGACGCGATAAAGTATGATTCGTCTCGCCTTTTCCAGGAGGATCCTCTTGTCTTCCCTCAGCTTGAGAAGTTTCTCTCGGTCTCTCGAGATTTGCGCATCCAAGCCTTCGAGCTGCGAGCGAGAGGAGAAAAGCTCGTTTCTCAGGTTCTCATTGGCCACCGATTTTTCTTCGGCCGCTTCCTTCAGGCGTTTCACCTCGTCCAGAACCTCGTTCTTCTCCTGCGAAGTCGAGCGAACTTTAGTTAAATTAAATCGTGAATTTAATGGCCGGCAAAGGGCAACGTCGTTTATCAAAAAGTAGAAGAAAGAGCGGCTCGATCGGCGCGCTTTGAGGTAGAGCGAGCGTTCCTCACTCGCGTCACTTAACCGAAAGCTTCGACGACGAGCGAAGCCCCGGTGCCTCGGTAAATCTCTCGGCGGATTCTCTTTTAAAGGGAGAGCTCTCGGGCGTGGATTTTTCGTCTCGGTTGCAACCGATTTGCCTTAAAATATACCTTCGGCGAAGCCTCGAACCGCTGGCCGGCCGCCAACTCAGGGAGCTTGATCGGAGAATCGAGCTTTCTCCGCGGCCCGAGGGTGGCGAATATTCCCTCGGGACTTTTCGCCCCAGACATTCAATTTTACATTTATAATCTATACAAATGCTCATTCAGATCTAGCAATTCACGTTGTGGGTCGGCATTTTCGATCGCATCGGCGAATAATCGAGAAGGAAGTGCCGAGGAGAGCATGCGGCAAGAATCGAGTTTGAACTCGACCTCGAAAGCCGAGTACGCGGGTCTAATAATAAGCAAGGAAGAGAATGGGAAAAAGCGAAAAGTGAAAATGCGAAAAAAAAAGGACGACAGGTAAAAATGCGAAAGTGCGAAAGTGCGAAAAATCGAAAAAGTGAAAAATGAAAAAACGAAAGCGCAGCCCCAATCCGTACCGCCAGGGCGACGTCTCTCTCCCTGGTCGCCTCGTCCAGCTGCGCCTTGGCGCGATGCACCTCGGAGGTCAACCTCCCCACCCGGCTATTCTCGGTCTCCAAGAGACGTCGCAGAACCACGATTTGTAGGCGCAGGTGCTCCACCTGTTGTCCGAGCCGCTCGGCGGTACGCTGCAGCAGCGCCGCCTCCTCTCGGCGGCACCGCCACGCATTAAGGACCAGCGAGTGGCAGACGATGGTCGCGGCCCCGCTTCTCAGGGCGCGCACTCGCACCTCAAACCTCGGGGCAATCAACCTTCGCTCTTCGACCTCGACCGCCCTCCTCAAGGTCGCGCTGCTCTTCGACCTATTAAAATAATTCTTCATAGAGATGTCCGTTGAGTTTCAACATTTTTTCTTTTTATACAATCGAGGAATTCGATTTTGAGGTTATCCTCCCCGCTTGATAGTTTTTCTGCTAAATACATCTAAACAGGGGTAACGAAATTATCAAAAATACTTGAGCTGTGATAACGGTGGAGAACCGTCTTATGAGATAAGGAAAAAACGAAAAATGCCTAATATAGTTAGGTAGATGTTTAATAAATATATTAGGATTAGTAGCGCCTTCCCAGTGGGCATGAAGGCGTTACGATCCAAGAGGCAATCCAATCCGATACCTCAACTCGGCGATCGGCGCGCCGATCATCTTCGGGGACAGGTCGACCATGGACGCGCTCCTTTCAGGCCTCGACGCGATTCCGGGAACGCGAAAGCAAAAGCCTGGCGGACATGGCGATCGGAAGACCTTCGGGTCGGGCGAATCGCCGGCCGCGGTAAAAGGACTTCTTGGAGGGGCCGGCCGCCGGTAAGGGTGCGTCTGACATCGCACGGGGAGTTGCGAGTATCGCGGTTTACGGCGCAAGCATTGCATTTGCACCTCTTCGCTTCCCTCTGTTCGATGACCCGCGGCTTCCTTACCGGCGACGCCGGGGGATGGCTCGGTTTTCGGGGCACTCGCCGTTTCTGGCATTGCGACGCTCTCGCGGATAAAATTATTGTAAGCGTTTCAGTTGCTTGTTTGGACGCTTCGTCATGGGGACGCGCTTGGCCTCGACAAAAGACGTGCTAACATCGAGCGACGCTTAAGGTGAAATGAAAGGGTCATTATTTATATATACGTCAAAATTTTCAATAAACTTTTCTCCAAATTGAGTGCATCGAATCACTTGAAACGTGAACACGTGATTATGGAGGCCCTAAGGAAGAACGCGATGCTCGTGATATTTCATGTTTCAAAAAACAAGATTCTCTTATTTAACCTAGATTTGTACAAATTTTTTTTTTTAGGGGAGGAAAGGAAATTTAGGAATAAAAATCATATAAAGAAGTACATCGAGCGAGTTTTTTTTTACTCGAATTCGATTATATCAAGGTGAGGAGTATTTCTAAAAGCTCGGGCTCTGACCCGGCGTGACCTCGATAAATAGGTTAGGGTGCCGCCGAGAACTCGCCGGCCCTGGCGGCGCGCGCATCACGTGACCCTCCTGAAAGGACCAATAACCGCTCGGGACCTATTACGCTTCCCCGAAAAATTGCGAACGCCGTGCGATCATCCGCTCGAGGATCGCCGCACGGACTAACTTAATGCGAGCAAGTGTTAGCGTCGCCCTCGTGTATCTCCGTGCTAAAAATAATCCCACCGCGGATCTCTCTCGCTCTTCCCCGGTTTTGTCGTCGTCGCACCTTTAAGAATTACCCTGGCCACGAGTCCATCGAGAATCTGTCAGATCGTTTCCGCTTAATTCGGTGAAAATCGGTCGGTAAAACAGGTCCGTTCGGGCGGTCAAGGATCGAGCGAATCGCGGGCGTCCTGTTCGGTGTGAATTTCGCGCGTAGTGCGCAGACGAGCTGCGTAGCAGGTTGCGAGGGTAAGGAGTGCAAGGTGCTTTCCGGTGGAACCGGCCGATCGACCAATCCGCTCGGCGAATCGTGATTCCATTGGAGCCGTGCGAGCCAATGGCAGCGCGCGCTCACGACGTGCGAGGCGCTCCTTGAGCGCACCACCGATCTCGTTCCCAGTGATTACGTTCTCCTCTTTATTTACAGACGTACTCCTTTCCTATGAAGACAACCGGGTGCGACGAGATAGTCCCTGAGAAAACTCCGCTGAGGTGGTTCCTTGATTTCCACGGTTTCGGGAGAGTTTATCTCGAGTTCCTGGCGGACGCACCCGAGCCAGAGGCACCATGAGCTTCGGCCAGGCAAGTCACTCGCATTGTCCTACGATAGTTTAATTATAGCCGGACGGGCCGGACAAGCCTAGGCTCTCCCAAAATAATGATTGGATCAGCGGTCGCCGCTCTCCACCCCCCTGAGAGCTTCCCGAGGGATAAATGTTAGTGTTCCTTCTTCCCTGGAGCTCGATACTGCTTGTGACGAACAGCTGTCCACTGCATTTCGAAGGACGAGCTATCCTGATCTCTAACCTCTTTCCGATGCTCCTTGAACACCGAGCTCTTCCTCGACGAGAGCTGACTTATGGGCTCAAGGTACGCGTCCATGCTGACTTCGTTCAACTGGTCTCTTGCCGATGGAAATGCTTTTGTTCGGTGCTGTTTTCGTGAGGACTGTTGTGCCATAACGTTACAAGGATCGTCGACAAAATGTGGGGCGACTCTATTTCAGTGTACTAAGTGCAGGAAACATTATTCCAAGTAGTTTTGCGGTCTTTGACTTAGTATAAGTGTAGAATTACGTTGATGAATATTCTCGAGTGACTTGAAGTTGAAAAGGTAGAGCAAGTTCTTAGACGTTATTTCATCTTTACAGATAAGAATGACATTGGGAAGATAAGCATTCAGAGGCATGGAACGCTTCCATCATATGCAGGATGGCAATATAAACATAAGCGATGTCAGTAAGTATACTTGTGTTGCGATCCTCTTAAAAGAATTTAGAACTCAGGGAGCCTTAAATGAGTGAAATTCTTGCTGCTTAGTCGAGGTCATTCAAACGACAGATCCTGGATTCGCGGAGTGTAACGGAAGTGAAGAGCAAGATATAGTGGACATGATTTCTGGAGGTGGAATGGAGCCCCTGAAGCCAATCGCCTCCAGTGGCTCGAGAACTTATCCCTATGTTGAAATCCTTGAACAACCGGCAAGTAAAGCTCTTCGCTTTCGCTATGAGTGCGAGGGTCGTTCGGCAGGAAGCATACCTGGCGTCAACAGTACTCCTGAGAATAAAACTTTTCCAAGTATACGAGTAAGTACTGCTAGAGTTTAGAAATGCATATTTTTCACACCCTCAAAGCCTGCGTTATAATATTAATTCATAACTATACTTTTGACTCAAACAGATAATTGGGTACAAGGGTCGAGCTGTGGTAGTGGTATCATGCGTGACCAAGGACCTGCCGCATAGACCTCATCCTCACAATCTCGTTGGCAAAGAAGGTTGCAAACGAGGTGTTTGTACCGTCGAGATAGCCTCGGAGAACATGACTGTGACCTTCGCCAATCTTGGCATACAGTGTGTCAAAAAGAAAGATATCGAGGATGCTCTTAGAGTTAGAGAAGAAATTCGTGTGGATCCTTTTCGAAGTACGAAACATTATCTCCCTTTGTGTCCTACGAGATCTTTGAGCCTATTTTCACATTTATCTTTATATGCTTCTTCAGCTGGTTTCGAACACAAAAGGCAGCCAACCAGCATAGACCTGAATGCAGTGAGACTGTGTTTCCAAGTTTTTCTGGAGGGAACGGAGAAGGGAAAGTTTACGGTTCCTCTAACACCTGTCGTCTCAGATCCCATTTACGATAAAAGTAAGCCACGCTTTCGAAACTTCTCTCAACATGTTCGACCTTTCAAAAACTGTGTCGACTCTTTCAGAGGCGATGTCGGATTTGGTGATATGTAAGCTCAGCACGTGCAGCGCATCGGTCGCCGGGGGTACAGAGATGATTCTTCTCTGCGAAAAGGTGGCAAAGGAGGACATCCAGGTTCGATTTTTCGAGGAAAGAGACGGCCAAGTAATCTGGGAGGGATTCGGCGACTTCCAGCCCACGCACGTCCATAAGCAGGTATATATTCTCACGAACCTACCTAACCTCAAAAAATTCACTCATTTCGCATACACCTGCACGACAAACGTGCAGATGAAAAGGGCGACTTAGAACGTGCTTCCTAATTTCTTTCTGGCTACGGTGCGCCAGGTAGCGATCGCCTTCAGGACGCCGACCTACAGGATGCAGCAGGTGGACCATCCAGTGCAGGTGTACATCCATCTGCGAAGGCCTTCGGACGGAGCCACGAGCGAGCCGTTGCCGTTCCAGCTGTTGCCGATGGGTTCAGGTAGGCCCGGGTTCTGGTCGTTGCGCAAGGCCTTCGCCAGGAAGAAACCCGACTACAACGTCTTCGGAAGGATCCTCGCCGCCGAGGCGTCCTTGCTCTCCGGGGGTGCAAGGCTGCCTCGCGACATCGACGAGTACAATAACAACGACCCTGAGACAAAGCGACTGCGCGAGGGGATCTCCACGTTACCGTACCACGTGGGGAACGGAGTGGAGTCGCGAAACGGGGAGGCGAATTCGAGGCCGCGGAGCACGGGGAGCGTCGAGTTCCTCGGAAGAGCCACTACGGTGATCCCGGAACCCGAGGTCGCGGTGGTGGCCGAGAGGAGGCCAAGCGAAGGCCGGCCTCGAGTAGACGGCGCAGCGCGCGAGACCCTTGAGAGGAAACCCGGTATCCGTCCCCCGGGTGTTGAAGTCAGAGCGAATGTGAATTCTCCGAACAGGATCAGGAAAGAGACGAGCGCCGGGAACGCGGAGAACGCGAGAAGAAGCTTCCAAGGCGAGGGTAGCGCGCAACGTCGTCAACGCGAGGATTCGTCGAGACCCAGGGCGGACTGGTTCGACTATTCGGAGGTGGGCAAGTGGGTGCAGCGGGGCCAGGAATGCCTTGAAAAAAAAGAGGACGAGGAAGATGGTGGCAGGTCGCTGAACGAGTTGCTGTCTCAGGTTGCCGAGTTGGACCAGATATACGCGGACACGCATAATCGGTTGCTGAATGCCGCTCTGGAGGAGAACCCCTCCATGGACGTTGACGTGTACGACAGCAGGACTTATACGAGTCTGCAGCTCGCCATGAGGAATCCTATAGAGATCTTCGACTTTCAGGACGAGAAGAAGTACGAGGACGTGGGGGTGCCGCTGAGGTTGCGCTCAGGGACGACGCCTCCGCCGTTGCCGCCGCCCCTGCCTCCGCCATTGGCGGCGAAGAGAGACAATAATAGGGAACTCGAAGAGAGGCTTCCACCCCTGCCGCCTAAACGCATCAGGAAGACTCCCTCGATGCCGGTACTCCCTCGCCCCAGCTCTTCTCAGGGGATTCCGGAAAATTCTCCGATGGCCCCTAGGAAAAACTTGCCCTCCTTGCCCGGCACCCTAACTAAACAACCGAGGCAGGGACTCTTTTCGAAGCTCTTTGCCAAGAAGTCGAAGAAGGACAAAGATGGCTCCCTGAATACCAGCAATGGGTCCCTCAATGTTACCGGGAGTCTTGGGTCCCTGACGAGGAGTAACGTCCAGGAGTTCTCCCGCTCGCATCAGATGATTCATAGACAGAGCTCGGCTGACGCCAAGATCCAAGATGGCGACGAGTCGCCCCCTTATGGCGTAGAGCTGACCGAGGCTGAACATTATGCGCTTTATACGACCATGGCACCCCACGCCACTGCCTCAGAATTTGACGAGATGTCTTTTTACTACAGTCCTGTCGAGGGCGGTAAAATATTGGACGGGAAGGGGACGTAGAGATTTTATGGAAACGCACCGCCGCTCTTCTCTTTCCGCCATCTTTGTTGGACGAATTCATGTTGGCGGGTAGATTGAGTATTTCAACGGGTACTCCGGGAATACGGCAATACGAAAAATTGTTATATTTTTTATCGTGGATTTTCATAGCGATGTAGATGGAAAGAGATCATTTTATACGCCGGAAGTACGCTTGGAGAGTCGAATTGTGGTGGTTGCCTTCGCTTGATGCTTTTCTATTTTCTTTTTTTTTTTTTTTTTCTAAGTCGATTTAGATAAATTCAACAGTTATATTATGGAAGGTTGAAATCATTTCATTGACTAATGGAACTATTCCTTTGGGGAATAATTCTTTCTTAGTTCGTTTGTTTTCAACGTGTTATTTCTTGGTTTCATTGCAGAGGCATTGATAGGTTATCCGAGGGATAACCTATTTCTTTATGCTTCTTGAAATTGTAATTGCATCTCTATGTCCTAACCAATGAGAGATAACAAGTTCAGTCAATGATTCTAGTTGATTGTCAGAGTGATCGTTAAGATTTTCTTCGTAGTCTGTAACACTGTGTTAATTATGCATCGTTAAGTTTTATTTCTTTTCTTTTTTTATTACCAGTTGAAGGAGCTGAGAAATCGAAGTTTATACCGTTTGATTATGCGTATGATAAGAAAATCGTAAACGTATAATGAGTCCTCGAGACTTTGATATACCGTGAGGCCTTAATCTTTTATGGAGAAATTCGAGAGCGCTGTCATTTTTTGTGGACTATTATGGAACCATTTGTTAATTGTGTGACCGATTCGTAGATGATCCCGATTCGTTAAGGCGAAAGAGGCAAAAGTTTAATAAGAGCCCGAACGCGCTTGTTTTGAGACATGTACAAGCGGAAGCTGAGAAACGTGAGTATTTGTTCCGTCTATTTGTTCTGACTCTTCTGCCTAAGGCTGGACCGGGGCTGGGTATTGGTGTCCTGCATCAGAGTATTTGTGCAGCTGCACACTTTTTGAAATACTTGGTCTAAGAATCTTTGAGGAGATGTTTTCAAATTTAATATTTTTCTACACTCTTGGTGCTTGGTGCAGTTGACAGGTATCGATGTAACTCAAAGTGCTTTCAAAGCAGTAAGAGATCGCTGTGAGTTGTATGCGATCTAGGGATGTCAAAGGAAAAATTCAGGCATCGATGCTAGCATTGTATTTTATACTTTTTTAAGGATGCATTTTATATACAGATTGAGAATCTTATATTTTGATAATCGGCGAGCAATGGCCTTGTATACCTTAAAATTGTATGTGTAAACTTGTCAAGGGGCTGCAAGAGCCTTTGAGGGGCTCCAAACGGCAATAGTGACAATTCTTTTGTACATCAGAATTCTCGTTGTTGCTCTACGCGTATATACATATATATATTTATATATTTATATACGTATGTATAGTTATAAACACGACACGTGCCTCGGCTCATAGTTTGTATCGCTTTGAAACGAAATAAGTGCTTTCTTCTCGCCGAAGGTGTTTTAGAAACTTTATCTTGTAACCGTCCTACCGCAATAGGAAATGGTGTTGTGCAATATTTGTACGGTACAGTTTTTATAAAGAGGTTTCTCTTTCTCAGAAGGAAATTATATTTATAAATTGTATCGATTAACTATATAAATAAGATATTTATGTATATACATATATATGCAATATTATCTGGTGGCAAAATAGAGATTTTCATTTCCTTCGGACTACTCATTTACCTGAGGGAATTTCAGATCGAATGCTTTCGATCGATGACTGTAAAGGTACGTCGGTGTTGTCAGAGAAAGTATGATTTGCCACTGGTTAGCTTACCTTTGCAAGATAATTTGTTATTTGTGAATTGTTTGATTTTTCTCTGGATTTTGCTACAAACTTAACAGCATCCAAGTAAGCATACTTGGTTTGTGGCTCTGTAATGAACACAATGTGTTGTTTTTACAAGTTTTATTTTTTCTCCACTTTAAATGGTGATTACGAAAGCACGTAATTTGAGTTTTTATAAAAGTGAGAACTTACTGCAAGAGCACTGTATCATGTTTAATTTTGATTCTCATGAATCTTTTCTATGCATGTGGGTTTATACGTATTACCAGCTTGCAGCAATATTAGTTTTTCCTGCATGCATTTAAAGCCTTTCTAACCTTTGCTACGACTAACCTGGTATTTTGATGAGCTATTATTTCATAAATCGTGTAACGTATAATTAACCAACAATTTGCTGTTACAGATCAAGCGTTATTGAATGCTCCGGTTCAATACAACTTCCGTCTTGTGAAGCCGGAACCCATGGAGAGAGTTTCACCTTACGGAGGAGGCATCGCAGCAGGTGGAGCATCTCCTTTATATCCAATAGCAACTACTTCTCCGCAGCCTTCTTCCAGCATGCAGACTCTTAGGTAAATATGGTACATTAACCTCACTTTTGTAACAATATAATTCCACTAACTACGATACATTCCAGGCCACAGTCCTCTCCAGGTCGTACCCCATCTCCAATGGAATACACTTCATACAACATCCCTCTGCAGCAGCAGAATTTACCTTTCCAGCACCTTCCTACCTCTCAGTCGCTGACTTTGCCATCGACGAGTACTCAACATCCTCAACTGTCATACATTCCTCAACAGTCGCAGTCCATCGAACAGATGGGGCTCAACAGGGTATCGAGTGCTCAACATGCTGCCTTTCAGCCACTGAATCCTGGTAAGGGTTAATACTATATTAATTAATTTTAATAAATGAAATTGTTGATTAACAAAAACAATCATTGTAGGCCGAGCCGAGGGTGCAACAGCTGACGTTGGCGTGTTGGGTTTGGACAACCAACAATACAATTTCGACATGAGTCTCAATCCCCTGGACTCCGCAGAGTTAAGGGAGTTAGCTCTCTTCGGTACAGCTCTCTCGGAGAATCTCTCCAGTGGTCTCTCTATATCCGATCCTGTCAAGGTATTTCCACCGAATGCCTCAGATCGCTTAACATTTGACGTCGATCTGTAATTCTGTAAGATCGAGTGCATTAATCGAGAATTAATTTGAAGCCGGAGCAAGGTCGAGAGGCGGCCGAAAGCAACACAGGCGGTAACGAGATGAGCGATAGCTTCCTCAAACTGACTAACACGACGATACAAGAGTTGTGCACGCTGAATAACATTTACAAGCCAGCAGGTGACCGTGTCGGTTAAATCGGAGTACTGTTTAAGGTACATTTAAGACCGACGTGTGCAATACGTGTAATGTAAGGAAAGAGTGATATTATCGTAAGCGGTGCTCAAGAGTATCGTTTGCCAATTTATGCGGTGATTTACGGAAACCCTCTCGACGGAGTTCTTAACGTACTTTCCCTGGAACAAGAAATACAATGGAAACTCAGAGTCCAGAGGGCTTCCCTAACACTCGCCATTTGTATTTATAAGGTAGAAGATAAAGAAAATGGTACTTTTAAGGGTTTCTTGAATGACCACTAACTTCTTTGTAAATACTGTGACTAAAGGGATGAATGAAATAGTCTAATACAATTTGATTCCGAGAATTATACGTACAGTTAGCGATACTCTATCGTTGAACGACACCGAAAAGGGGATTAATGTTTCGAAGACGACGAAACTTCTCAAAATTTCGGAGTATGTCGGAACTGCGTTATTCGGAAAATACTCGTTGACTTTCTTTTATCATTAGACGACAAAGTATGTGACCTGCATATGAAATGTTATGCAACTTAAACGAATAAGCGAGGTAGAACGAGGCGTACGTGGTATATGAAAGAGAGACTACAATGCCCACATTTATTGTGCAATATTCGAAATGAGTCTGTAAATACGAAAGGAAATGTTGGGTTATCGTTACTGGATCATTTTTCCAAATGTATGTGCAAATCATTTATAGGGGAAACCGCGAGATATATTTACGTTACGTTGAACACTATTTTCTTTTTGTTACACTATTTGTTTAGTACAGTCATGGCTTTGGAATTAAGAATCATTAGGAATAAATTGATGTGAGATTTGGTGCCTTGAAGTGTTGTAAATCTATTAGAGATATTAAAAATATTTATGGCCACTTCGATCAGATCGCTGCCCTCGAAGCAACTATCCGTTATTTCGGCGTTTCGCGAGTAACACTTCTCTCTATAGTAATGTATTTATACGAGAAACTGTAAAATTACAGGTAGAGAACATTGTACAGAACCCAATCCGATGAACAAAACTACGGATTAAGGTCTTATCATGTAAAGTATCAATGTAAAGAGATTAATTAGACCGATCGAGTCTCACATTGGCTGTTAACCGTCGGTTAAGAAATAATTCCACTCGTTTTCACCGAAGTACCGTATAAGACCAGAAAGATGTTACCAGTACGCAAATGATAGTCACGAAAGGTTTCCTCTTCGTTCACGGTTTCTGACTTAAAAGTAAAGAGGGAACCTTTCCCAATTTCTACATTCTAGCCATATTTCCAAGGTTACCGCGATTAACAAAACCTCTGGTTAACCCGCAGGGACTATAACTTTGTTATCGGTGCTACCTCGAACCTATTGTTATATCACAAACTACAATTCGGATAAGTATAATGCCGATATAAATTGTTACTACATTTTAAGGCCTAGATAAGCGAAGGTCGCATCGCAGGTTGCGATTAAAAATGCTTGAAAAGTCACTGAAGGATGTTTCTTTAATCGAGTGTAACAATAGCGACAAAGGCGAGTGCTTTTACACGTTACATCAAGAAACTCGGTAGAGTTTTGAGCGAGAAACTCCTAGCGTTGAGTGATGCGAGAAACGCCCTGCGCGTTGAGTTCGAGCAAAAAATTCAGAAGTTTCCGTAAAAGCCCATTAGCCGGGTCGACGCTTGATAGCCAATAAATAATAACCAAGCGGGACACTAGATGGCAGCACGGGCGATTTAAAGTATTACAGAGTGAGGGGAAGAGCATGGGCAGCGTGAGCAAGAGATGAGTTGGGAGATTGCTCACGGGCAGGATCGTGTGATCGCATCCTGTGCTGCCCTCTGGTTTCGTACGTTAGCTTTCACCGTTTTTTGCCCCCAAGGGCGGCGCAACGAATTTCTGATAGGAGCTCGCGCACTCGCAATGGCGATACCATCTACCAGTCGCCGTCAGAGATGAGTTGGGAGATTGCTCACGGAAGGGATCGTGCGATCGCATCCTGTGCTGCCCTCTGGTTTCGTACGTTAGCTTTCACTGTTTTTTGCCCCCAAGGGCGGCGCAACGAATTTCTGATATTGAACTCGCGCACTCGCGATAACGGTACCATCTACCAGTGACCGTTGGCGGCTCA